ATGATTTATCGGATGGGAGGTGGTCATATGTGAGCAGCTTACCTTGACAGGCGGCAGACTGAGCTCTTTCGCTATCTCCGTGTTCCGGATCGCTCCAGCCTCTTGCAGACTCATCCCTTTCACTCGCTCAGTCATGTACGAAGAACTGGCAATCGCCGATCCGCAGCCGAAAGTCTTGACTGTTATTTTGTTGATCCCCGCAAGTGGAAGAAAAAAGAGTCAGGAGGAGCAAAGACCAAGATGATTGTGGAAAAAAAATGGGTTACAAAAATAAAGGAAGAAGGAGACTGACATTTGACATCCGAGATGATTCCCTTGTCGTCCACCCTGATTTGCAGCTTCATCACGTCGCCACAAGCGGGAGCCCCAACGAGCCCGGTGCCGACGTCATGATCAGTTTTAGGGAACGAGCCCACATTACGTCTGTACGAGCAAAAAGGTGGTGGCATACAAAGAAAGCAGATGGGTAAGACTATTGATGGCAGAGTGATCAGCGAGGAAGGAAGAAAACAAGACGAACGGGTTCTCGTAGTGGTCAATGACTTTCTCGTGGTACGAGCGACGGAATTGGAGATTGAGAATCGGGCCCGCATTGGCCATCGTCTTCGAGATTCGACCACCGGCCTGTCGGGAGGAGACAAGGGAGCCCAAGAGACTTCCCGAGCGGTTTAACAATTGATAGACCATGATACTTGTGAATTTGGGGATAGTTTCTTTTTTGAAGTGGTTTGTTGGTTGATGGTTGTGTTTGATTTAAAAATTTGGGGTTGGGTGTAGGGAGAAGGAGTAGGAAGTGAAGGGGGTCTATTGCAGTGGATTCTGGGGCCAAAAGCAGGGCTGTGGCAGGGGGGGAGGCACTGCCTCACTCGCCGCAGCAGTCTAATACGCAAATCAGGGAACTTTTGAGACTACTTTCTGCCGCTGCTGCTGCGATCAAAAGAGGCTGCAAGATGGACTTGACTGAAAATAATCTTCTGGCAGATCGATCACTGTGTCCTCATTCAAAATGATGTCCCTGCCCTGGGTATCTGTTTGTCCATCCAGCTTTTGTAATCCATCATCAAATTTGCTTGGATCTACACTCCATGACATCACCAACAGTGATCCCTCTCTTTGCCATATATGGTGTTGCAAGCCAGTCTGGGCACTGGCCCAAGGCCCGCGTGTCCAAGTGTCACCGGGGCTTGGGCCATTGCCCAGGGGGCTTGAGTTGGAAGTTCGCGCGTGGCCCGGATCTTGGCACAAGCCCAAGTCTGGCTTGGCCGAACCCAAGCTCTGGGCTCACCAGAACCACCAACCACAAAACCCGACCCGACCACCACACCCGACACCAACCAGCACCACTCATTGGTTTTGGCCTGGGTGGCACTCTCGCTTGGGCTCGGCCAAGCTAGACTTTGGCCCGACCCACCCCAACTTTGGGAGGTGCCAAGCCAGGCTTGAGTATAGGCCAAGTTGGGTTTAGAGGGTGCCACGCGGGGTTTGGGATCGGCCAAGCCCGCTTGGCCTCTTTTTCGTCCAACTTGTGCCAGTGCCCAGACTGGCTTGCAACACCATATGACATTGATAGACATAAAAACAAAAGGAAGCTTGAACTAAACTGGTAATTTCATAATCTGTCTCAAGCTTGGAAATGAAACAATCAAAAACATTACAACTTAGCTCTGTTTTATTCTTATTCTCTTTAAGAAAGAAACATGAACAAAAAAAAAGAAGTTACATTAAGCAAATGGAAATTAATTAAGATTTAGGCTCTGTTTGGCAGCCATATTCTTGTGACATCTGATGAAGTTTTGGTGGACCTTATCAGATGCCACATTTGATATCAGGCAAAAATAGCAATATATCACACTGATTAAGGCTGTGTTTTTCAGGATCATATTTGAGTGTCATGAATATGGTGACATGTCAAATTTAATATGTGAGATGAACAAATTTTTACTGCAACACTTGGGCCCCATTTGGCTGCAAATCGTGATATGTGATTTGGCTAAGGTTTGGCCCGGATTTGGACCGTGCAATATGAAACAATATAAAATTTTTGCTGGAACTTGCACCAAACCTTACCTCAAAATTACAAATTATGTGTGGTCAAACGGTTACCGGGCCTTGGAGATTTCACCTGATTTCTAGACATTTATAATACTTGATTATGATACAGCAGACTGCAGAGGCTTAAGCTTTTAAAGGGACCCACATGCCCCAAAAAGGAAAATGCAAACCTTCCCACCTGGTCCTAAACCACCCAATTTTTAGATCTACAGCAATGTAGAAAAAAAAACCAACAATGATGGCAGACTTGGCACTCAAGTTGCCAATGGGTTGAGTTTAGGTCAAAAACCAATGCCCAAACAGACCCAACAGTGCAAATGGTTTGAGTTGGATCAAAATAAGATACAGACCAACCCAACCCAACCCAACCATTTCCAAGGTGGGTTTGGGTCAATTCTGGAGTGGCTCACAAGCCAACCCTTGGTTATTTGATCATCACCAGATTGGGCTTGGTTCAGAATGATCTGGAGCTAACTTTCCCAAACCCAACCCAGAAATGAATTAGGTCAGGACAAAAATTCTACCAAAAAAGCTGCCAAAACCTGACCCAAATTATGTTGGGAACTTGGGTATTGGATTGGTCTGGGTTGGTCCCACCGTTATTGGGGCACTATTGAATCTCCATTTCAACCTTCTCTTTTTCACCTGCAATTGTTCAAATTGACTACCTAATTATGCACAATTCTCACACTCATTACCACAATGGTAAGCCTCCTTTTTGACACTTCTCATACACTGTATTTGTAAAAACTTGGAAATATTTCTCCACTGTTTGTTTGGACACCAGACCAGGAAGCCAGACAATTGGTCTGGGAGAGATTTCCGGGAACCACCTATATTATTTTTAGCTCAGTATATGGTTAGTACAAGTTCTCTCTACAACAAATCAGGAAAGAAAGGAACCATTAAAAAAGAAATAGAAGAATAAAGAACAAGAAGGAAATAATAAATGAAAAATTGAAGGGAGGAAAGAAGAAAAAAGGAGGATAAGAGGAGGTAGGTCCCCGAGCTCATTAGTAGTATAAGGCCTAGCTCATTAGTAGTATAAGGGGTGCTTTGAGAGGACTTGAGTAGAGCTTCTGATTCAGGAT